ATGTTGTAAAACGAAGTGATGACATTAATTCATCCGTAATATTTACTCGTATCTTGTCGAAATTAGGCTACCCGGGCTTTTAAAAAAAGTATTGTAAAACGTATAAAAAAAAATTGTTTATCAATTGTGTAATGATCGGGTGACTCAGGTGTTTATTTCCAAATTTGGGACGGTCTCACCTGTAGTGATGAATATGTGCTTACCGGTACATCCGAAATATTCCGACAGAAAGTTATTAAACGTAAAATACAAGCAAGGCCAAATTAGAGTAAAATTTCGAAGAATTTTGGGAAAAGAGAGTTGAGTAAGCCGTAAATGTTCGCAAATTGGCAATTACTACACCAGACTACAGTTAAAGTTTTTTTTTTGAACGTTATTTGGATTAGTCATGTCCATATTTGTCCATGTCAAATTAAAATTGTTTTGCGAAATATGACAATTTGTGTCCGATTTTTCGGATCAGAAATACAGAACACTAATACGTAGTCATATTATAGTCATAAAAAATCCCGGTGATCAACATTGGGAGAATATACATACATACATGCATACTTACGTCGTGCCTAAAATAAATTACTAAAATTGGAGATTCAAAATTGCGTAACAAATATAAATAGTACCCGACTTTAAACTATAAAAACGATCCTAAAGCGCGCGTAAAGTTTGAAAATTCAACAAGAGCAATATGAAAATTCTTACCAAGGAAGAAGAAGACGGTAATTAAAATATTGCATAAACGATAAAACCGTATCATTCATAATTTATTTTAATTAGTGATATTCTGCTTCGAATTTAAATTCGAATTGTTATGTCGAAATCCGAATTTATTCCAACGATTACTTTATTGGTCAAATTCCAAAAAATAACGATAGTAATATCATTGTATATGAGTGCTGCCAAGGGAAAAGGGCACCTCCGTTTTTTAATTAATTATTGATTCAATAATTGATTAAAAAACGGAGGTGCCCTTTTCCCTTGGCAGCACTCATATAGTATGTATATACATACATACACTCAATGACAAAAACATTCGATTACTTAAGAACGAAAACTATTTTATCGTTATAGAAATTCTATAGGTGGTCAAATACTTTGTACAAATAATGAGATTCGGTAAATTCGGTTTTATATTCAAATTTAAGTAAATCAAATCCGAAGGTCGAATCCAGTTCCAAACTCTAATTATTCATATAGATTTTAAGTATATTTTGCATTAATAGAGCATTATCATGCCACGGTTAATGGTGCCTTAAAAGGTGCTGTCCTTGGCTTGGGCGTTTCTTTAGGCGTTTCTCTTGTGGCTCAACGTTACTCTCATTTTTATCAAAAACTTACATTACCGCTCAAAGCTTTCCTGGTTTCTTCAGGTATTTACTATATCAATTACCTTTCGTTTCATCTTTTTTTTTTTAAGTTCACATTTATTGTTGTTTGCAGGGACAAGTGCAGTATGTATTATTGGTGCAGAACGAGCTGGCTTAAATTATGAGAGAAAAAGATATGGCCATTATCAGCCTGCCAAAAAATTACATCAAACAGATTCAACTGTTCAGGTAGCTAAAGAATTCATTAGTGAAAATCGATATAGTATTGTTTGTGGAAGTTGGGCTTTATGCATGGCTGGATCTCTTACTTATACTTACAGGAATAAGTAAGTTTAACAGTATTTGAATTTTATTTATAATTGTCATTACTGTTTAATCAGGATTAAATTTATCTACCCATCCACTCGATCAAGGTACTTGAGCTTTGCCCAGAAAGTAGTTCATGCACGTATGTACGCACAAGCTTTGACCATTCTTATGGTTCTTGCAACAGCTGGTTTATCTATATCTTCCAAAGAACCAAAGGCCATTGAAGGATCAGATAAATGGAAAGAAATGGTTGCTGCTGAAGAAAGAAAAATGAACAAGGTTTCATAAATCAAGGAGTATATATAAACATAATTTTATAGATAACACTAGTATTAACATGTAATAATATTTATGTTTATTTATTTAAAATATATAAAAAGTAATGTTTTTTTTTTTTTGTTATTAAATATAAAATAATATGTTTATATATAAATTTTAAACAAAACCGTACAAAATACTTATAATTAGATGGCAAAAAAAAAATGCTAAATTTTTAAATACGAATATATATAATTCTTGGTATACTGTAATATAAAAAAAAATCTAATAAAATTAGAGTAAATAATACTTAAAAAAACCTTTTTTTCCATATATCAGTAGTCTTGTTGATATCTTTATTAGATCAAATATACAAATATATTCTAAACTATCTAAGTTATAGATCTGACATCACTTGGCTTTCTTTATGGGTACCCAAGTGTGGTTTGCTTTACCAGTTAAGGCTATTGTCCATACCAGAAGGTTGTACCAAGTTAGCCAGTAAAATCATAACAAGATAGTTTCAATTTAAAAAAATTTTTAACTATATTTAATTAGTAATTTTTTTTTTCTAATCTATTCTCTTCTTTAAAACAATAATTTAATGCTATATTAATAACCAATTCCATTTTGTCTTTTATTAAAGAGTTATTGTCAAAATTCTTTCAGTTATACTTGCACTTTTTTTTTCTTTTCTTTCAATTTATTCTGTTTTTTCTAATCAGAAATCTAACTTTTAGGAGTCTTTTCATATCTTTCTCTTTATACTTTTTCTTCTGTTTGTAGTTTTATATTTTTTTTTTTCTAAAGAGCTTGTTTTAAAGGTCTTTTCTAGAAATATTCTTCTGTAAGTTTTCTTCTTTCTAAATGTTTTGAGCTTTCTTTTGATTTTTTTGTTTTTAAATCTTGATTAGTTTATTCAAATCTTTTTTCTTTCCTGTTCTAAATTTGAATATCTTTTTTTTTTTTTTTAGTTTTTTTCTTAAAAACTTCTTTTGTATTTCAATAAAGATTTTACAATTTCTAAACAATTTTACTAAGATTCTTTTTACTATCTTTAATATCATATTTTTTTTTTTTTTTCAATTTTCAATTTTTTTAATTTTTCTGTTGATATGTTTTAAATTAAATTTGTATCAATATTCTATTAGAACCTTAACCAATATATTCACTCATTAACAACTCCAACAGAATAAATGATAGAAATAATATATCAAGCAAGTATTGAAAATTTATAGATCAATAACAAAAGTTAAAAAAAAAAAGAGAAAGATTTGCTTATAGAGTGAATATATTGGTTAAGGTTCTAATAGAATATTGATACAAATTTAATTTAAAACATATCAACAGAAAAATTAAAAAAATTGAAAATTGAAAAAAAAAAAAAAATATGATATTAAAGATAGTAAAAAGAATCTTAGTAAAATTGTTTAGAAATTGTAAAATCTTTATTGAAATACAAAAGAAGTTTTTAAGAAAAAAACTAAAAAAAAAAAAAAAGATATTCAAATTTAGAACAGGAAAGAAAAAAGATTTGAATAAACTAATCAAGATTTAAAAACAAAAAAATCAAAAGAAAGCTCAAAACATTTAGAAAGAAGAAAACTTACAGAAGAATATTTCTAGAAAAGACCTTTAAAACAAGCTCTTTAGAAAAAAAAAAATATAAAACTACAAACAGAAGAAAAAGTATAAAGAGAAAGATATGAAAAGACTCCTAAAAGTTAGATTTCTGATTAGAAAAAACAGAATAAATTGAAAGAAAAGAAAAAAAAAGTGCAAGTATAACTGAAAGAATTTTGACAATAACTCTTTAATAAAAGACAAAATGGAATTGGTTATTAATATAGCATTAAATTATTGTTTTAAAGAAGAGAATAGATTAGAAAAAAAAAATTACTAATTAAATATAGTTAAAAATTTTTTTAAATTGAAACTATCTTGTTATGATTTTACTGGCTAACTTGGTACAACCTTCTGGTATGGACAATAGCCTTAACTGGTAAAGCAAACCACACTTGGGTACCCATAAAGAAAGCCAAGTGATGTCAGATCTATAACTTAGATAGTTTAGAATATATTTGTATATTTGATCTAATAAAGATATCAACAAGACTACTGATATATGGAAAAAAAGGTTTTTTTAAGTATTATTTACTCTAATTTTATTAGATTTTTTTTTATATTACAGTATACCAAGAATTATATATATTCGTATTTAAAAATTTAGCATTTTTTTTTTGCCATCTAATTATAAGTATTTTGTACGGTTTTGTTTAAAATTTATATATAAACATATTATTTTATATTTAATAACAAAAAAAAAAAAACATTACTTTTTATATATTTTAAATAAATAAACATAAATATTATTACATGTTAATACTAGTGTTATCTATAAAATTATGTTTATATATACTCCTTGATTTATGAAACCTTGTTCATTTTTCTTTCTTCAGCAGCAACCATTTCTTTCCATTTATCTGATCCTTCAATGGCCTTTGGTTCTTTGGAAGATATAGATAAACCAGCTGTTGCAAGAACCATAAGAATGGTCAAAGCTTGTGCGTACATACGTGCATGAACTACTTTCTGGGCAAAGCTCAAGTACCTTGATCGAGTGGATGGGTAGATAAATTTAATCCTGATTAAACAGTAATGACAATTATAAATAAAATTCAAATACTGTTAAACTTACTTATTCCTGTAAGTATAAGTAAGAGATCCAGCCATGCATAAAGCCCAACTTCCACAAACAATACTATATCGATTTTCACTAATGAATTCTTTAGCTACCTGAACAGTTGAATCTGTTTGATGTAATTTTTTGGCAGGCTGATAATGGCCATATCTTTTTCTCTCATAATTTAAGCCAGCTCGTTCTGCACCAATAATACATACTGCACTTGTCCCTGCAAACAACAATAAATGTGAACTTAAAAAAAAAAAGATGAAACGAAAGGTAATTGATATAGTAAATACCTGAAGAAACCAGGAAAGCTTTGAGCGGTAATGTAAGTTTTTGATAAAAATGAGAGTAACGTTGAGCCACAAGAGAAACGCCTAAAGAAACGCCCAAGCCAAGGACAGCACCTTTTAAGGCACCATTAACCGTGGCATGATAATGCTCTATTAATGCAAAATATACTTAAAATCTATATGAATAATTAGAGTTTGGAACTGGATTCGACCTTCGGATTTGATTTACTTAAATTTGAATATAAAACCGAATTTACCGAATCTCATTATTTGTACAAAGTATTTGACCACCTATAGAATTTCTATAACGATAAAATAGTTTTCGTTCTTAAGTAATCGAATGTTTTTGTCATTGAGTGTATGTATGTATATACATACTATATGAGTGCTGCCAAGGGAAAAGGGCACCTCCGTTTTTTAATCAATTATTGAATCAATAATTAATTAAAAAACGGAGGTGCCCTTTTCCCTTGGCAGCACTCATATACAATGATATTACTATCGTTATTTTTTGGAATTTGACCAATAAAGTAATCGTTGGAATAAATTCGGATTTCGACATAACAATTCGAATTTAAATTCGAAGCAGAATATCACTAATTAAAATAAATTATGAATGATACGGTTTTATCGTTTATGCAATATTTTAATTACCGTCTTCTTCTTCCTTGGTAAGAATTTTCATATTGCTCTTGTTGAATTTTCAAACTTTACGCGCGCTTTAGGATCGTTTTTATAGTTTAAAGTCGGGTACTATTTATATTTGTTACGCAATTTTGAATCTCCAATTTTAGTAATTTATTTTAGGCACGACGTAAGTATGCATGTATGTATGTATATTCTCCCAATGTTGATCACCGGGATTTTTTATGACTATAATATGACTACGTATTAGTGTTCTGTATTTCTGATCCGAAAAATCGGACACAAATTGTCATATTTCGCAAAACAATTTTAATTTGACATGGACAAATATGGACATGACTAATCCAAATAACGTTCAAAAAAAAAACTTTAACTGTAGTCTGGTGTAGTAATTGCCAATTTGCGAACATTTACGGCTTACTCAACTCTCTTTTCCCAAAATTCTTCGAAATTTTACTCTAATTTGGCCTTGCTTGTATTTTACGTTTAATAACTTTCTGTCGGAATATTTCGGATGTACCGGTAAGCACATATTCATCACTACAGGTGAGACCGTCCCAAATTTGGAAATAAACACCTGAGTCACCCGATCATTACACAATTGATAAACAATTTTTTTTTATACGTTTTACAATACTTTTTTTAAAAGCCCGGGTAGCCTAATTTCGACAAGATACGAGTAAATATTACGGATGAATTAATGTCATCACTTCGTTTTACAACAT